TACTTGGTGCAAGGGCGCAGACATTTGAAGATAGGAGCCAGCAGCGGGTATAGGAAGTACTCGGGGCTCTTCAGTCGGTTGTTGGCGAGCACCGTAACAGTAACAACGACTGACAATAGCGGCGACTGCAAAAGGTCGTTCCACAATGCGCAGACTTTTCGCAGCTTCGTCTGCGTCCACGTGTCCAGATGGGAGAACACTGCCAACCACAAATCCTGCTGCAGGTCAGGAAGTGGCTCAACTGTATCGTCCGCTGCAACCAGTCCGCGTGAAGCAACCGCAATTTGTGCAAAGTACTCGTTCAACGTCTGGTGGGTAGTGTTATCCTTTTTCTACGGCATGAGAGAACATTGGGTAGTTGTCGTATATGTTGCCATATTTAAAATAATAAGAACTACTTCAATAATGCAAGTTCATGTTGTCAGTGTAGCCAGGTGGCACGAAATACGACCAGAAATGCCCAACAACACAACCGTCACTTTAGTAGAAAGTAGAAGAACACACGAGAATTTACAAAAACAACACAATTATTGTATACGTATGAACACGTAAATACGTAAAGCTTTAATAATAAATAATAGTATAATCTCTACAGCCAGCAGAACGACTAAATTAGGGACGGTTACAATATGAAGAAAATAAAACAATATGAACTTGCTAGGGCGTATTTATTAAATACTGTGCAGAATTATGACAACCGAATTCACGAGACACCACAACAATCATCAAGCACTACAAAAATTGACGGTTGCACACAAATGCAGGCTATCAGACCATTACGTTTGCTTAACTAACCTCATATATTTTATCTCCCTCATCATCGTGTTCTGGCAACCGACGCTCAATGTACGATAACTGTCCATCTATAACCTCCGTAAAGAAAATTGCGCGATGATTTTTGTCGGCAAATGTCGCACTATTGAGCTGCTTAAGCAGTTGGGCCGCAGGCTCATCGCAGTACTCTTTCGGCAGCGGGAAACTGTGCTTCACAAATGTTTTTTCCTCCACACATTCGGCAATAGCAAACGGCTTCGCCAAGAGGAACCAGCTCATGGTAGGAAGGCGCGGCATCGTAGTAATATTGCTGATTCTATAACGAAAACGATCGGCATGAACGACATCCGCATTTTGCCCATTGGCCCACTGAACAACAGCCACGCCGTCCCAGCTTTGTCCAAAACCACACGCTTTATGGACATTCTCCCCCGGCAACCACGTCAGCGGATCAGACGGAGTCGGTCGCACGAGCGCATGAAGTTCTTCCTTACTCCAGTGTGATCGCATGTAAATGGTCGCTTCGTCTCCGCGCTCCTTAGCCTGGATCTCACTGATGGCAGTCACCGTGAAGACTCGATGGAAAGGTGTGAATTCGCGATGGCGATCGGGGCAGAGGAAGTCGATGAATAGTCCGTTATCAGCTACATCCACTACACGACCGTAGCGTAGTAGGTCATCATCACCCACAACGTCCACACCGTTCGTCTGATATATTCGGCTGGCCATAACGCGGGTCGTTACAAACATACGTTGCGCTATTTTGGATTTGGTAAGAGATTGGATTAAGTCTATTATGTGCTGAAATTATGTGACACGTAATTCGTGTTGATACAATGTTCATTTCAATAGCCAAATAAAACTCATCATTATGATAATAATACCATATATTTCGAATTATGTATGTAGAAAGTCATATCGTAGTGGTGGCTACAGTTTTGGAGGAGGCTTTAAATTCTTTGTCAAACGGCCGCTATCCGTAGAACAAGGGATTCCGCGAAAGTTCACCGAACCACCTCATAGCAAAATTGAGACGGCTGTCTGCAGTGCATCCGATTGCCCAACGAGGTCTATGCACTACGCACCCATCCGGGTTCCAGCAGTGTTATTAATAAAATCCTGGACTAATTCCCTTTTCGGTGACCACTTTCGATCTCACCCTTAGTCGCTTACCAATGTAATAACACAGCTTCCTTCCAAATTTAAAACAAATCGAGGCAACCATTGACATTTAATCGCGAGGAACTAAAGCGCGTCCAGGTACCTGGGATCCGGAATATGTCCTACTGCAGCACAGAAAGTATCACTTTCAAAATAAATATCGGCGCTTAACAAAACGTATGCAATGGTACTTTTAGTTATACTTTTGACCACCACTCATAGTCCATCATCGTCAGATACGATAAATATGGCTGATAAAATAAGTATTTAAATAAGTAACAAGACATACGACTATCAAAAATTAAAAATGCCTGCTACAAGTGTAGAAGAATTATAATTATATTGCAGTATCCATACTGTCAGAGACCGCACACACGAGGTGGTAGACACCTCTTGTGGCTTGCTCTGTCGCCCGCACGCAGGTGGCCACGCCACTCGTGCCGCGTTATTACTTTGTCTACGTTGACCAATCAGCGTACTGCTGCACTCGTGGCAGTACGCTGGGCGATGCCCAGCGCTAATACGAGCGATTTCATGCTTTGCGGCCTCAGCTGAAATGCAGCTGCAGCACGCCGTCTCATTGTCACGATTTTCACCGAGCTCGCTGGCAGCGACTTTCTCCATCAGCTTTTTCCGCATAGAGCGTGTGGTTTTTCTGTTGGTTGGTTGTTGCTTTATTGCTTCACAATAAAGGCGCTAGATCCCAGCTTCCTTTTTCTCGTTGCTTCTCTTCTGACAATACGATGGTATACTAGTGTGCAGTGGAATCTCCCGATCTTAAACACCCTCGGTACGTACCATTTTGTTCATGGTTCAGAGGTGCCCACGGCTCAGACGTTACTGCCAATATTATTCATCACGCCGGTGCGAAAAATTGTGTTCATCGCTCAGAGGTAATCAGACTTAGAGATTCCACTGTAGTGCGAAGCTACTTCGCAGCGCAAAGCAAATCCACTTTTACAGCAGCGAATCAGCAATCGAGCACTGATACAACAGCTCACCTCAAGTTGTTTGAATGCGCATCCAGATCCCGGACTTTTTTGCCCTCAACCGGCTGGATTATGACGCTGTGCTAGTAGGTGCTTATGTACTGCGCCAGATTTACCATCTACCTCTAATGCTAGATCCAGAATGGATCCAGAGACAGAGACAGAAACGGGATCTATCCTGTGGAGTGAGCGATACGATCTGGATCGCGAGCTATGCGGAAACACAAAACGTCGCACCGTAATCGCTAACTTTTAATAATATTGACAAGTCTGCCTAACAGAAAATCAACACTGATCGGCGCAGCTCGATCGTAGAGCGTAGAGCTCATTCAACAGTGTGCATCACTGTGCAGCACGTGCTATGCCGCGCCCACTAATAAAGCACAAGCCAATCAGAAGCGAGACACAACACAGACCATAATCCAAAGGCGTAGCGCCTAGCGCCACGGGCGTGAACGCTAGTGAAGCCTCGTCTCACATGCCTCTGGGGGGATGCCGAGCTCCTGTGAGGCTGGACACACTCCCGAATCCACGAAAAGACGAAGGTCGCCAGTGTCTGTGCGTGCTCAAAAACATCAAATTCTCTTAATCCATTTTATCACATCAATTACGTAAAGGCACAATTCCATTTAATACAATGTGAAATAAAGAAATCCAATTATAAGAATACTATCAAATCATTAGGAACAGATCAACAGTAACAGATCAACAAAAGTATTAATCAAATTGTAGACTAGGATCCTCCATTTCTGACTCGCAAAGGTCACAGGTCCTGTCCACCGTTTGCCGCACATTGGCCCATTCCGCTCTGTTGAGCAATCCTGCGCATCCATAATGCGACTTTCCATCACAATCCGCTTGAGAATCAGGTGCGACTTAGGAATACTGCTTCAATCTTTGGAATCTGGTGCGTATCATTCGTACGACTTCAAAATGAGATCCAATAAAGGTCATGGAGGGACGTCAATGAAGACAAGCGTAGTTCGCTTCCTCCCTAGTAAAGGTCATCCTTTGTTGAGATGTGCGACTCGTTTTGGGTTAATGGTCCCAAAGGTCATGCGACTTGAAATCCGTTACCGGTGACTCTGTTGGGCAATTGATGATCCCAAAGGTCATCCAGCTTCTCTTCAAAACTTCCATTAAAGGTCATGGAGGAACTTAGCCAATTTTCTGCGGCCTTCAAGCACTTCTTCGCTTGCCTCCCTGGTGAAACTTGCAGTTTGACCTTTCCGTCGCACATCCAACTTCAACGAGCCTCGAGCGGCCAGAGTGCCGGCAAAGTTTACCGTAACATTTCTGATGGGGCCGGCTAGTTACCGCATTGAGTTTACCCCATGAAATTTCCACATTTAATCTTTTACTCTTGTTCGCCGCTTGTGGCTTACGTTATTACGAGAGATCCGGCTTGATTACCGTAGTTTTTCTCGTTTTAATTTTGACACTGAATCGCTTAAAAAGAGTGCCGGCGCAGTTTACCGTAACGACTCTAATGAGGCCGGCTGATTGCCGCATTAAGTTAACCTCATCAATATTCCACCTGTTGTCTTTCTATTTTTCGCCGCTTATGGCCCCGTTTCGTATTCAAGAGATCCGGCTTGATTACCGTAGTTTCTCTTGTCAATTTATAACACTGAATCGCGTAAGGAGGAGAGCCGGCTAACTGCCGTAACTGCTCCCTTGGGGCCGGCTTTATAGACCGAATCAATTTCAACCCCAATAGTATTCCACATGATTTCTTTAGGCAATTCTGTGCTATAAATGCTGCAAACGACAAATACACAAATACAATTAATGTTAACATGTCACATATCACGCCCTTTATACAACACCGTTTTTCATTTTTGTGACGTACCGACAAAATGCCGTAGACGTCCTTTCAATAGTGTGATCCTAAAGGTCAACACTATTCCATTTCATTTGAATCGCCCTCACCATCTCTCGGCGGGCGTTTCTTAGCGCTTTCCGGTTGGTTTCGATCGGAAGTTCGGTCAACTGGTTCCGTCGAGTCAACTTCCATGACCTTTACCGGGTCAACATGGCGCTGGCCACGACCTTTCCTTGGCGGCTTCGCTTAACTCTCTCAAGTTGGTGCCGTGCGTCGTTCTCCTCTAACCGCAGTCTTCGGTTATTAGGGTCAGCTGCCAGTCGCCGTTGTACGTCAGCGAGATTATCTCGGAGTTGCTGGTTCCGTATACCACGTCGTCCCATCTGGTTAGGAGCACGTTCCGGACGACGGTCACTTTTCTTCACCAAGAATTCATCAATGTAAGTCTCGACTCCGTCTACCGGTTCCACTTAGTCACTTCCTAGAGAATCTTTGATCTTATTGATCCTCTCTTCAACTTGGGAGGCATGGCGCTGTGTCAAGTTGCCCTTTTCCATCCGTGTCTTACATTTCTTCAGCGCCTTCCGAGCATTATGGGCTATGCTGATGTGTTCCAACGGTTGTCCCAATTTAGCGACGTGAGGTCGGAAAAACGGTGGGATATCGTCTCTCATCGTATTCGATACCAGCTGGTTCTGTGTCTTGTAATGTGCCAGTCGTGCAGCAAAGACCTTTTGCCCCATCCTTTTTGCGGCATAGTCTTTCGGATCCACCTGAAGTCCTACTGATGCTCTGGCTGCGAGCAACTTGAAAGCCGGATTCACGTAGCGTAGAACAAACTGAGCCACATATTCCTGCCGTTCAGGATAATCGCGATAATAAAACTGTGTCATTCCGATTGGGTCAGTTGTATCCAATGGTACATCCAATAAGTTCAAATCCACTAAGCTGTGTAGCCCATTCTGTCTGATAGGGAGATAACAGTCCCGTACCGAGTCGCGGTGGATGAATAACCGGCGAAAAAGTCCTTGTTCCACTCCCTCTTTAATTTCTTTCGCGTAACCCGAGTCGAGTAAGAAATGACTCAGCTGTCGCAGAATTGTGCCAATTTTGTTGGCTTCAACCGAATCCGGCTCAAGTCCAAAGTATCGACAAATTTCGACCGTTTGCTCATCGATATCAGTCGTCTTGTATTCCATGTCAATACTTTCTGGTTGTCGGTTATTAAATCTGGAGTTTAATCGCTGATCACCTTGGCGACGATTATCCGGTTCGCCTTGACCTTCCAGTTCGCGTCGGTCTGCTGATGCTGGCTGCGACGGTTCATTACTCGTCGATGAAGCCGGTTGAAGGTCACTATCCAAGATTACATTTCGTCGGTGAGTCACATTCTCTTGAGACGTGGTTTCGACAACTGAGCCAGTGCCTTCCATCGCGTCATCTTCTTGTACGGTACTCACGATGGGATCCACTACGTGAACTGTTGACTCCATTCGCTGATATTTTGGGGGTGTATCTTCCCTCTCCGCACTCGATGACCTTTTACTTGCGCCCGAGTCAAAGGTCGCGTAGAATGCAGCCCTCTGTTGCCATCTTTTATCGCGTGGGTCAGGCGTTCGATTTCGCGTATGTTCGCGTCTTTTATCCCATGACCTTTCGGGTGTTGACATCCTGACGTTACGATTACGGAAAGCAACTTCCGTCGGCACCTGATGTCCTTCCTTTTCAGGTTCTGTACGGAATGTCTCCGCACGCCGTTTTTCTTCACGTTCTCTGGTCGCTGCCAATAACTTCGTTGTATCGATCTTCCTCTGAATGCTCATCTCTGTTACTTCATCGCCGTGGCGTACCCATCCTCTTCCGCCACGGTAATCCCTGTCGCGAGAGCGTTCGCGTGACCTTTCACTGTGGTAGTCACGTGTCCTTTCACGAGAGTGTTCACGTGACCTTTCGCTTCGTCTTTCAGAAACCCGTTCATGTTCACGTGAATGTCCGCGTGACCTTTCTCTATGCGGAGGCGATCGAGGTCGAATGAAACCTTCGTCCCGTTTAAAACTTCTGAGTGCTTGCAGCACATCGCTTTCAGTTCGGCGAGATTTACGTAGGTCATCCATACGTCTTTCGACTTCCTTCTTTATGTAGGGTGCCGGCGCGAACCCGTCTTGAAGTCGTTTCTTCTCCCGCAACAGCATTTTGAATACCTCGTCTGACATAGCAGCTGGATCTTTCGTTAACGTTTCAATTTGAATGATAAGCGACTGTCGTACGAGTTGCATTTCGTCTTCATTAAGGCTGGCCATGCCCGTGGGTGCAGCTAAACCTGACGTACTGGGCAACGCCTCTCGTGCGGCCTGTTCGCTTGCCCTCTTATTTTCCGCATTAATTTTCGCGCGGAGTTCGTCTTCCATTTGCTGAACTCGCATCTTCTCCTGGTCCTCTTCGAATTTCCTCCGATACGCGTCTGTCTGTGGACACTTCAACGGTTCCAAGGTGTCATCCCAACCAGGTTCGTTGTTCCGGATCGCTTCCCGGTAGCGATCCTCGAGTAGCATTCGCTCTTCCACTGGGATGCTGCCGTAATGAGATTTCGAAAAACGTCCAAGTTCCCTCGTTTCGCTTCCATGATCCCAACAAGCGTGACGGCATGTGGGTCTTCCAGCTTGTGAATACAAGTGTAGCAAGGGAATTTCTTATCAACCTTTTTGTTGTTCCTTAAGCAGTCCGGACATTTCGGATTATAGCCCGTAAACTGATCGATGTCTGCCGCCGTTCCCGTACGTTTAGGAGTGGCTTGACCTTTCTGTGCCATTTTTCCGCTTCAATCTGTAATTATAAAACAATCCGTCATATTAACTTCTCCACGTTAATCCTTTCCATTTCCTATCCATATCAAGGCTTTTCTATCATTTTTACGCCTATTCCGTTACTGAGCTGAGACTTTCCTAGCTCCTGCTGCCTTTTCTATCACTGTAACGTGGTGACCTTTCTCACGTTATCAGTACTCTCTGACTACTGTGACCTTTTCTATTAGTCCTAGTACTGCTTTCAGTTGACCTTTCGTAACGCTTTTCTCTTTCGTTTTAAACTGTTTTATGCTTTTTCTGTAATATGCAGGGTTCATTACTCGCTGCATATTACACTCGATTAGTTCACTCGGATTCTTTCGTCGATGGTTTATACGGCTTGAAATCGATTCGGCCATCTAGCTTAATATGAAGCACTTCGTCCGCGATCAAGGCTTCAACGGCATTCTTAATCCACTCTTTATCGCTTTCAATATTCAAATCTCCCAATTCGTAATTGACGGCCATGAAGTTCGAAAGGTCATTCCATGACGCGCCATTGGTACCGCCAATGGCGTCCAGAGCCACATCTGTGATGGCTATCTTCCAGGCCTCCAGTTCCATTTTCAGTCTGGGCGTTCGTTCCGTGCCCTGTTTCGGAAGGTAGTAGACGACTTTGTTGTCCTTGTTATATTTACATCCCAACTTTCCTTCCTTATAAGCTCGTTTCAAGACTCGTTCAGTCATGTTAAGTGACGACCTTCCGTTTGAATTTATTGCCACTTGTCTCTTCAGATCTGTACCAAGCATCTCTTTTTCTCGGATGATCTGGAGCGCGTTCTGGACTTCGTTCCATGTACGATTATTCACGTCCAATGCCGGCCCTAACATGTAATCTGTAGCCTCCTTTGCCGGTGTACCGCTACTTTTCTGGGAGGATGTCGAGTCCGTTGGGTCAGCCGTCGCTGTCTCGTCGATCCTCAGCTTTGCCAATGATCCTGATGATGACCCCGCCGATTTTGGTTCGGCTGTCTTCTTCTCCTCTTGCGGCAAAGTCTCTTGACCTTTTAGATCGCCGACCGATTTCGATCGTTCCTTCTCAAAGACCTCCTTTAATGGTATGAACAGTGATTTATGAAACACCTGTCGTGCCGAATCCGCTTCAGCTTCTGCCGCTGCCTTATCCATCGGGAGCATGACCTTTTCTTTCTCCCGTTTGTCTGAAGCCTCATGACCTTTCGGTTGAACTTCTGCGGTAGTTTCAGATGTCTTCGGACCTTTTGACTGTTCATCTTTTTCTGTCGTAAGTCCAGAAGGAGCCGTTATAGTAGCGTCATCGTCGCTTTCCGATTCCGAATCCATTGGGCCTTTTGTCTTCGATGAAACTGTGACCTTTTCCATGTCCTGACTGTCGGACATATTACAGTGGATCTGTCTTTCCGGTGGTATTAGACCAACTCTCGTGTATCGGATCGGGTGTCCTTTATGTGCGTTTGTCGTGGCAAGGACGTTCTGTTTAATCAACTTTGGCAATACGCGCTCGGTTGCCGTGTCGATCTCCTTTATCATTCCATTTCCGTCGTTCCAAACTGCGTTGATGTATTGGCTAATCCGGTGACTCGTTGACCCTAATGGGCTTGTCATTCCCGCGATTGCCCTTTCTACTCGCATTGGGACCGCTTCATTCGGAGTTGTCAGCGCCTTATCCGAACTGGCTGGTCTGAACAACTTGGCCTCATACGAAAAACTCGGGTGCTTCTGTATGAGTTTTCCTGCGTTCCGCGCGAATTCCAACACGACATCGAACTTTTGTTTAGTGAAGCTACGATGTTGTTTCTTCAGATATGTCTTCAGGCCCGCTTTGAATTTCGATGTTACCGATGCTGTTCTTATTCGTGTGAAATTCTTCTCCGCTCCGTTATACGCTTTGATTATTTCATCGACCGTGTTCAAATTATCATCATCTGGGCCATCAAATTCTTCATCCGAGGTGAAGTCCAGTTCACTCTCCCCGTCTGGTTCAGTGTAATTGATCATTGCCATTGCGTCGACTTTTATGGCTGTCTTGCCCTTTCCTTTGGTCTTAACGGGTTCGCTCTTTGCTTTTTTCCCTTTATCCAGAGCTTCCGCTAAGCTTCTTGGCTCAGTAGTCCTTGATCGTGTCGTTTTCGAATCTGTGTGTGACCTTGCACTGACCGTCGAAGTGCTTGGAAGGCTCACTTCCGATGCCTCCGATTCACGCGACGTCTCCCGTTTCGCTTTTTCGCGAATCTGTTTGTCCTTGCGCTCTTTTGGCGTGGATGCGGAAATGACAATGGGGACAGCTTGTTTCACCGCTATGACCTTTCCTTTGAGTTTTGATGGCTCTGCTGTAGCCGATTGAATAACTTTCTTTGACTTCGTAGGTGTCGATGACCTTTCTTCAACTTCACCAACTGACTCGTCCAATATCTCAACATCATGCGACGCTGGTTCATCTCTTTTCTTCTTCCCGGTGCTTGTGCTATCGCTTTCGTCACCGCTCTTCTTCTTCTTATCTTCTTCCTCCTGTCGTTTCTTCTTATCTTCTTCCTCCCGTCGTTTCTTGAGAAAATCGCCTTTCTTGACCTTGTCACGGTTCATGGCCTCTTCCAATCTAGGCGCTTTTCTCGGTTTGACTTTTGAGGGCTTCACTTTCGAGGGCTTTTTATGTTTGTCGGCCATTTCTTCGTCTGAGCCTTCTTCCTCAGGTGGGTCCTCGTCTTCCGACTCTGGTTCGTCGTCACCAGGTGGATTACAATAGGCACAGTTTGGTTCATCACACTGAAGGTGCTCGTGACTTCCTTGGGCAATCTCAAGTACTCTTTGTAGCGAACGTCTGGCCCCTCCTGTTTCGGTTATATTTGCCGACGTGCCCTGCGCCTCTTCCGTCTCTCCGGCTCCGCCTTCTTGTGCCGGGGGATGAATTTCCAAGTGTCTGGTCTCTTTCGGAGATCCCTGTGAGGCGACCTCCCACAAAGGGTTCTTCTTAGCGTCGTAAAATACCGTTTTGTACGTTCCATCTTCCATTCGTCTTGTGAGTCGGAAATGTGCTCCATCGATCTCCGCTCGATGCCGCATCATGCTGATGAGTGTGCTTGCTTGAACCACGGCATCTTTTCGGTCGCTTTCAGGTATCAGATCCCATAGCTGGTCGATAGCTGCCTGATTCGCATTTCGGGCGCTCTCTTCTGATACATCCCATGGGGCATATGGGACCGGGTCTCCTGTTATTGGGTCAACTATCACCGCAGTTATGGTTTCCGTAGCTTCTCCATTGTCAGCGAAAAGTCTGAGGGTGACCTTTCTGCTTGTCGCCTCTGTATACCTCGGGACCGACTCATAATCATCTGACGATCGTTTCTTCGGATCTAGGTCCGCCGTCGGTTTTGAGCGAGTTCTCTTTTTGATCAACAGTTTGCCGTCCGTTGTGTATGTATATGCCAAGTGGTCATCATCTGTGCCCACTTTGATGCGGATCCATGCATCTTCTTCGGTTGCAACTTTGGATACCACGTGCTTCATCATCTGAACGATAACTCTTGGGTTATGACGTTCTTCTGGAGGAATAAACTGTAGCGCCTCATTGACTATCGTTTTTGACTCTTTCCCAATGGCATCCTTGACTGACCTATCCGCGAGGGGATTATACGAGTCGATCTCTTTGTTCGTTTTCTTATCGACTATTCGTGCAGTGACCTTTCGTTCTTTATGATCTTCCCCAGTGTACTTGGCCGTGAAACTTCTACACTTCGGGAATCGAATCTGACCTTCTGTTCCAGCTGGTGTGGGTGGCGCGCTCTTTCTACCCACTGGAACTGCGCCTTGTGGCTTTGCCGGCTCTGCTGGTGTTGCTTTGCTTTCTGTGGGCCTCTTTGTTCGCTGCCCTTTCTTATCAGTTTCTTTTGGGCTTGTCGTCGGTGATCTCACTCTTTTTCCACTCTTCGTGGTGCCACTGGATGGTTCTGTGACCGAGCTAGTACGTCCACGTCCTGATCCTGCAACCGAGCTGGCCCGTGACCTTTCTGCTCGTTCCGTTAATACGGCATCAATCCTCTGCTTTGTGGCCAAAAGGTCCTCGTCCGTCATTTCATCAACCGGGGCATCTTTTTCAGCTCTGGGTTTAGATGGTCCCGCGACGCTGGTAGTCGGTGTCTGTCTTGTTTCTGGGAACACCTTGAGATATCGAAGGATCTTTTCGATAGTCGAAGGCCATGGTCTACCGTTTAGCGACGGATGGTATTGCCACATCGACGCAACTTTTATCGCGTATTCCCTGCGCTCTTTTTCGATCAGTTTCGTCTTTTCCTTCAGTGCGATATGACATGGTTTGATGACAGCTTCCAGGCTAATCAGCTTTCCATACCATGCGTGTTCATCTTCAACTCGCATATGAATTCGGTAAAGTTCACGACACTTTCGGTTTAATTCCCGGATAGCTTCTAAATCCTTTTCTGTCAGTTTGTCGTCCTTATCCGGAATCATATTTAAGCGTGCATCGTTTTCGCTCAAATCCAAAGGGAGTTTCGGTGCGTATGCATGTATTGAAGGTTCACCTGGGGGCGTAAGTCGTAATCCGTCTGGTCCAGTCTCGTCCAAGTTAGGCCCCAGTGACGGTAAAATTCCTCTCGGTCGCCTATTTCCTCTGTTTGGCGAATTGCGATGGAGACGCTGCACACCCAGTTGCTGCGGTGTCCTCATGCGAGGCGCTCCTATGTCCGATAGTGCCAAGCCTCCCGTCTCCGGAAAAGGCGGTAGTATCGGAGATGACCTTTGTGATCGCGGTGGAGTTCCGCTGAATCCACCATGTCCCATAAATCGACTCGGTGTGGTCTGTTGCGGTGGCGGCATCAACATTCTTGCCGGTCCCATCATTACTTGTGGTGGTCCCATCGGTGGGGTATACGATCCTGGATACGGTTGATAAGGGGCGCCCGTTGCTTGTCCCGAATACTGGGTTCCGGCAGGTGAGCCGTGGTGCACCCAGTTAACCGTGTCCTGATAACTCGTCTGCTGTCCTGG